GATGATGGAGCAGATCTCGAACCCTAGATTTATATTTTAGTGCAACTGGACAGTGTTGGGTTACATACAGTATTCTCCCCTTGACTATATTTATACCTGTGAGCTCAGAATTTGTTATAGCTCTTCTGGCTTTCATCCAAAATACTCAAAGCACCCAACAAACTTTTAAAATTGCYGTTATAACACCAATGAGTAAACATAGGCCTAGAAAGATTAAGGGAATTTTCCAAAGCCTTTTGAAGTGTGTAAGTATTTTCTCATTGAATTTAGGTCAGACCTTCAGTGACTTGTTCAGACATACGGAAAATACCTGGAAAAGATCTTCATGAGTATAGTGCAAATTCCAGGCAATGCTTCTGTATCCGGAAATACAGAAGAGTTGCAGGCACACTTCTTGTGAGGTTATGTAGTTCTAATAAATAGTATGTCACCAAAGCACGTATCTAGCCAGACAAGGTCTTAAGTCACTAAATGCTTGTTTTTGGCCTAAACAACAGGCAAAGAAAAGACTGTGCCAGAATATCTGTGGCTGTCTGCCAGTTTAAACCAAGAAGAGGGAGAAAGCCCTGAACTAGTAATTCATAGGGCCACYGTGCATCGCATTCATCTGGCACAATATAATAAGAATTAAAGTACAGAAGAAGCACATGCTTAAAGCAGCTGGAAATGCAGAGGTAGTTGCTGGTTGAATTTGTTGCTGTGAACTTAGAMCCTCAAATTGCTAAAATTCTGTATCTGAGGTAGTTGTGTTGGAGTCTGCACTCAGTGCGAGGAACAGGCATCTTCAGAGATTTATTYCTCTCATTCATACCAGATCTAATGAATTTCTTGCCCCTGATGGTAGACACTTGAAATTTCAACTAAGCCAAAGATAGGTGAGCAGTTATTCTTTGCAGTAGGAACTGCATTATCTGGTTGGAATTGAACCTATTCACTGAAATGAGTGCTGAGATACAGGGTGAAAAGATTCTGCCCTTGTCCCAGGGTGAACTGAGTACTGGCAGGGTGAAATAATTCTGTTTCCCAACGAATGCTGCACACTCACAACGTGGCTTCTGACTGTTCTGCCTCACAGGCTTGTGCAGGAATCTTCCAGAGACTTACTCTGGGCTTGGGGTTGCCATAAATGCAATCGTTATCCATCTGTATTCAATGCCATTATTATTTATGTTATTGAATTCCCTGGAGATAAAATTAAAATAAAGCTTTTTTTTCCCCTCTCTTTCCATCTCAAGCTCCTGTTTTTATTTCCTCTTTCTCTTTAACAACCTTGTTTCCCAGGAGACCGCTTGATGTGTTCTTGTGTTTCCAAGAGACTGCAGTTCAATAAGTTGGGAGTTAATTGCCAGCTGGGAGTTTCCAGATGTTTATGCACTAGCCCAAAGAGCTGTCCAGCGGTAGCAAATGAACATCTGGAGAAATAATCCAAACGAAGCATCTTTCAGCTGATTGACACATGTCTGGAAAACTCTTCATGTTTAAGAGAAAAGGAATTGAAATTAGGAGCAGCTAGGAGCAAATCCTTCATTATCAATAATCAGACAATTAGTTTGTTTAAATTCAGATATAGTTCTCAAGCTCTGCACTCCATCATGCTTACAAGCAGCTGACAAATAATGCATGGCCTTCGCTCTGTCTTTCCTTGAGATGTGTTTAGAAATGCTCATTATGCACAGGGCTGGATGGTGCAACTGATTTATAATGGAATATGAAGCCTTTCACYCTGCAGTCAGATTCATATCCAAAACAAACAGCTGATGGCAAATGAGCTGTTAAGTAGGGCTGTTTAAGGATTTTCCATCAAGATGGTGGTTTGGTGAAATAGTTTGTTCTGTAGCAAACCAAACTTTCTATGGAGAAAACTGATCATTCTTAAGCCTTTTCTATCTGAGAAATCCAATTTGAAGGGGGGAAAAAAGTTTGAGAAATCTAGTAGTTGTTTCATCTGGTATTTCAAGACTCAACTATTGAGGGTGTTGTATCCTGTGGTGTTAGAGACTGAGGTTTGGTGCTCTGACCTTTGAGCCTTCAGGAAACATTATTTATATCTTTAGAAAGGGCCATACCTATTCATCGTGAAAGAGGTAGCCTAAGAAAAGGGGCARTGTGAAAGAGGTGCTGCAGCTCTGCTTTCATTAGGCAGGAAAATGCTATAGACACATRGAGTGTTTTGATGTTTGAGGTTGGGGTCAGGGCAACAGGGGATAGGAAAGAAACTTCTTGTAACCTAATGCACCAGGAACTGAAATATTGGAAATCCTTGCAGGATTGAGTAATAGATTTCTACTGTTTTATTGCAATCCAGGTATTAAAGCACTTGAAAAATATTCTAGCTGAGGATTTTTTTACCTCCTACAGAGCAATTTTATGTAAAAAGTAAAGATAAGACTATTTAAAAAAAAAAAAAAAAAAAAGCCCCACCTATAAACAGGCCTTTTTCAGTCCAAGTCTAGTAACTGAAGTCAACAGGAAAGATTAAGCTCTCTGTTCTTCCAGCTGGCCATAGCTGCAATAGTATCCACTAGTTCTGTTGAGAGCTCAGGATTCACTTGAAATAAATTATTTTTTTCATAAATAAATGTCTTTTTGCCTAACAGGGCCTGGACGGAGTATAATTTGTGTGCATGATGTAATCTAAAAACCTTCAAAAAAAAAAAACCCTCAAGCATGTTTTCCAGGGAAAAAAAAGTGCTTGTTTTTTGATGTCAGAGCATGTGCAAACTTCTGACTTGATTTGCTCCTCTTCATTTCAAATTTCTGTCCCGAGTGCCTTGTTTGGGAGTTGGTGACGTTCACTTGAATTCTGTTAAATAGCATTTCTGAGAATTTGCTACTTCGAGCACTTGCACAAACATCTTTGGAGAGGACTTCAGGCAGGTTGTTCCCTCCTGAGAACTTACTCCCACACGCACCTTCTGTGGATCTTGGAAGGCAACGTTGCTCTTACAAAGAGAGGAGGAGGAGGAGGAGTCTGCTGTCTACTCCATCCGAATTACAGTCACGAAGTGGTAGGAGTTGCAGGACGTTGTTACCCTGAACTGTCGTCGTGGCCATCACAATAAGGAGAAAAATATAGCTATCATTATGGGAGCTTTACACTGCATAGTTTATCTCTATAACAGTGCACTATGATGTGCCTAATTAGACTGTATCAGCTGTTCCACGTCTGCTACTAAAGGGAGACTTTCTTATTGTGTCTAGTCAACAGAGAGCTCTCAGCCTGTGATTTAGCACTGAAATTAAATTTAAGCATAGCTTCCCATTTGATTATCAAGCTATGGGTGACTTAAGGATCCTTTTCAATCCGTTACCTCCACTAGCTGTAAAGTGGCTCTGCTACAGTTTGATAGATGCGAACAAACTGAAGCCTCGTGCATTGAAAGTTAGAGGGAAATGAATCCAAATAATTGGAGGGCACAAACTTTTGCTGTGCTGTGTCCTTCACTGATTGTTGACTTGCTTGTGAGACTTGCACCTGTTGACAAAAAATGTATTTTATTGGCTGAAATACACCAAAAGGAGCTTGAGAGAGCAATGTAGGGTGCAACATATATATATATATTTATTTTTTTCCCCTATGTCCCTTTGGAACAATAACTCAACCGGTGCTGTCATAGTGAGGGGAGTAGTTAGGRAGTAGTATTTCCATGAAATAATCTCTAAGAATAAGTATATATTCCTATCTAGTCTTTTGTATATGCTAATGTATTAGGAACACTGTGAAGTAGCAACACAGATGTGCCTTCCTTCRCTAATATTTTCTAAGGAACCTAAGCTCCCACCCTCTTTATCTAAGGATGAAACAAGGGATGTTGTCTGAACAGAAAGATCACAGTGGTGATTTGGGCCCCAGAGACTTCATAGTCTAGTGTTTAGCCACCTTTTGCATGCTTTAGGAGAAGGTGAGTGGGCCAAGATGACATTATGGGATGATAYGGAGAACCTGCTAAGGAAACAAACTTGTGCTGCTCCTGTAAGATCCTCACAACTTGAGGGACATGTTGCCTGGGCCTTGAAAGCTGTGGTTATCTCCACTTCAGGTTGCTGGCGAGGTTGCAGATGTTCTGTAGTAACTTCAAAGAAAATGTCCTCTGCATAACAAGCACATCTTTTGCTGCAGGAACTGGCAGGTTTTCAGTATACTGCAGTAAGCAGGAATAATCTGATCACAKCAGACACGAGTGATACAAGACGTTGCAATATTGATTTCTTATACAGAAAGGGGGGCACGAGGTTGGGCAGAGGAGCTGAGAGCTCTGCCCTACCGTAACAGGGATTTAGCATTTAGTTGAAAAAGTAACTTTCTGGAGGGACCAAGGATATGAGATACTGAAGCAGCTCTGGAGTTCTAATGATTTGTAGAGCGTCATGGATGTTTTTGGATTATTTGTTTGTTTGTTTTTTGCTGTGATTGTCTTTGTGTGGCTAGAAGCCAATGAGCCCTTGCAGCAGCGTATGCAGGGGGGTGGCTTTCTGGTGTGAACACAAACAGGGAGATTGCTTGTGGATGCAAGTCAGGCTAGATCCTAGGCGTAGTCCTCTGCAGTAGGAAGTCCTAAGTCCTTGTATGCCCTTTATTTCAAGTGCTTGGTACAAAAGAAGGGCGTGAGACCTTCAGCATGTTATGGCGATAAGGGTCTTACTCCCGATGCTGCTGGTCAAGCAGAAGTAGGATCTTATGCCCCACTTTGCTGCCCTGTGAGTTCTCTGAGTTCATTAATTTTGTACAATCCTGCATATATGATACTAAAAAATGTATTCAAATAAAAATACACATTCATATTTATGCTGTTGCTCACTCTTCACCAGGGCTTAGAGGAATCATGATAGCTTCGTTTCTTGGCTCTTTACTGCTGACCTACTAAGGAGAGTTTTATGGTTGTTTTACTGAGGATGAGATGATGATGATCATGGGAAAGCACTCTGCTCTATATCCCAATTTTAAACTGGTCTGCTCTGGAATACTGCTCTTACTGAGGACTTTTGCCTTCTGTTTACAGGCTGTGCCTTCCTAACGTACTGCGAAAGAGAGTCTGCTCTAAAGGCCCAGAGTGCACTGCATGAACAGAAGACACTGCCAGGGGTGAGTCCACATTTAGATATGTACACTTATATATTTAATAATCTAAAATAGGTTACATACGGAGTTCCCACTGTGGATTYGAAAGCAGAATGTATCCACTTACTTGAATGACTCACTGTTTGCTTTGTGCATGTAAAACCAAGATGCCACCAGCCCGCTGGAGTAGTTTCCATGCAGAAAAGTAAAAGCTTTTTTGCTCTAATCACAAAACAGGTAGAGGTAATTAACTGGTTATGGGCTGAATTCTGCCAGCCTTGCTCAACTGAGAAAAAGCCTTAGGCTTCTGCCCCCTCTAGTGAAATGTTAAAAATGCTTACCAGGTACTATCTCTCAGTATTTTTCTTCTCTGAGGCARGGTGTGGCAGCAAGAAATCAAGAAACAAATCGCATTATTGAGTTATCACAGAATGAAAACATATTCCTGATGACAAAGTGGTTTGACTCAGTTACTTTAGTATTCAAGCAGCTGTAGCAGATTGGAAAGGCGGTGAGACAAGGAGAAAAGAGAGAGAGGAGAGACGAACACAAGATAATGAGGAAAATTATTCACATGAGCAAGATCTAAGGTTCAGACAACACAAGTGGAACTAAAAATAGAATCAGTGTTATGTGGGGAAGACCTGCCCTGCTGGGATGGGTTTCCAATTTAGCAGTAGTGGGAGGAAGGAGGGGGAGATTATTTGGATTCAGCTGGGGTACATGGGCTGGAAACAGCTGAGTGTGGTACTGTGGTACTTGTGGCTAGAAAAAAAACTGGTTTGACTCTAACACAGAAACTAGACATCAAGCACTTGAGTGTAATTCTGAAAGTTTCAGGTTGTATCTAAAATGAAAGGTGATTGACCTCTAAGCTGCCTTTATTACTACAGAAAAACTGAGTCTGTCCACAACTTCTCCACAAAACCTGAGGGGTGTTGCACTAGTTGCTCTGTGCTGATGAAGATAGTGCTGGTTCTGTTCTGCTTATTTATTATCCTAGGTCTATTTTCCAACTGACTCTTTGCCACCTTGCCAGTATGAGGATGCCCACACACTTGATCTTCTGTATTTATTTTTGCCTTAAATGCCATTCTTTATGTGAATATGTATATATTTCACTCACTAAAAAAAAAAAAAAAAAAAAAAAAAAATTCTTCCTGTTACCTGGCAACCCTGATTTTTTTTCTTTGGAAAAAAAAATAGTCACAGACTGTTTGAATGGTTTAAGTCTTACTAGGATTAAGTTTTTCTCTTCTCAGTTACTAGTATTAACAGGTAATTCTTTTCATCTTTCTCCTCTGCCTGATGGAGCTGCATGTATGGAAAACACTTATTTTGAACAGAGATACTTTGAGTAACAATTTCTTTTACTTGAAAATTCTCGAATGAATTTGAAAGTGGTGCACGTGCAAGTATCAAATCGAGAGCTATACTTGCAGTGTATGAGGTGTGTATTTAAAAGATGCCAACTAAAATTCCAGTTGTCTTCACTGAGATTGTTCCTTATTAGCAGTCAGACTCCTAGCTCACATATGGAGCTCAAACCTTCTCTGTGTCTCATCTTGAAACTGTGTGACATTTCAGTGAAGTTAGGGAACCAGTAACTTCAGTAATGATAGAGGATTCAGATTTTTAAATCCTTTTAAAGAACCTTTCTTTATATTTCCACACTTCTGAATTTCAACTTGAATTTTGGAAATTCTGAAATCAGGAAAATCTTAAACAAAACTGTTGTCTTAGACAATGGCAAAATTCAACCAGGTTGATTATTTTTTWAAAAATATATATAAATAGCAGCCTGCCGGTTTTCAGGAGTTCTGAGCTCCGGCCTCTCCTATCCCATTCATTTCCAGTTCTGTTTTTCTCAGGATAGAGCCTTATTTTCCCATAGCAAACCCTGTGCATGCAGTTTTCTGCCAGGTTCCTGAACTCATCTTCTGAATGATGTCACTACAGTTTATTTAAGGAAACCAGCCTTGTCTGTTGATAAACTATCATGCTCAGACACTGTTTTATGCTTCTTATGTGACTAGCAAGGAATTATTTATGACTTACCTGACTGTATTTGATAACATACACCGACAATATCAAGCATAGTTCATCACTGTAAAATAGGAAGCACTCGTAAGGTCAAGGGTCTAAGTCCTCATTCACCTGAGTTCACAAATAATACATATATAGCACCTTCTCCCGACCCTCCAGCATCTGTGACACAAGCAGTACTCCTGAGGAACTATGAAAAATAATTAGTGGGTCTGGTATAAGAAAAAAGGAATAATTACTACAGTGAGTTTTTGAGTAGAGATGCTTTTCTCCCCCACAGTAAATGGTATATTTGTCTGCCCTTGCAGTGTTGCTGTGTTCTTTCTATTATAAAACAGAGAATTGAGTCATTTTTAATAATATGCATATGAATGCTAATGTATGGAAATAGTGAGGCATCAGGAGTTTGTGTCCAGATTCAGATGCCTTGCCTCTTAGCTATGTATCACTGTATTTTTAGTGGAGTGGCTACATGCACATATTTTACAGTAATTACTTTCTGGATGTGCTTTGTAAGATGACAGAAATATGTGAAGCATATTTCTATGTTATATGTGGGACATAAAGTCATCTTGTGGAATAATCAAAAGACTTCCAAGCAGGTATGTGTTGATTAATAAAGTCTTTATTGTGCTTTGTTTTGGGACGGGATGGATATTTTGTAGATACTAGAATGGGATATAAGACAAAATTATCAGTTGAATATTCCTCACTTAATTAGGTTGTTTTGGACAGTTTGAAATTCTGCCTTGCCTAAAATTGAAGGTGAAGGTAGCAGCATATAATGTGTGTGTGTAAAGAGCACTTTTGTGAGCGCCAGACGCCTCAAATTCTAACGTTTTGTTTGTGATTGTTTATTTTACATATAATAGAGTAGCTGGATGATGAAGTATATTAGTTCTTTAATAATTTATAGAAATGCTTTGATGTTGCAGTAATTACATTAAAGGTCACATATCAAAGGTAATTTGGTTGAGCAGCTGTGATGGTTTCTCAGAAGCAATCAATATTGCTGTCCGTGGTGCAGATTTCACCGAGGGGACTGCCAGATTAAAGGAGGCTTATTACCAGCCAGCCAGACACGAGGGAAATCAAGAACAGATTGGAGAGATGCACTATTCTCTTTCCCCACCTATAATTAACACTGTTCACCATAATCTGTGCTAATCCTTCATAGTGGGAAACCACTTATGTGTTTTTTTTTTCCTCTCTGATATCAGGCAAGGAAGGGTAATTTGGGGAGAGGGAAAGAGAAAGTAGAGGAAGTAAAAGTTGATTCGCCCTTGGGATTTTTGATCCTTGTRTTTTTCTCAGTGATCAAGTGCAATATCAGAAACACGTCTCCTCATTTGGGGGAAAACGCGGGGGAAAAGGTGATCTAGACAATGACAGTGCAGGGGACATGAGAAAAATATCTGCCTGCAGATTTGGTATAATATTATCTATTTGCCCCACAAAGCTCCACAGGAAATGAAATCAGGGAAATAAAATTATGTTTTAAGTGTAGTCATTTTGATTACAAATTATAGTGAAGCCAACTTTTTCTCCCCTTTTTTCTCTTTCTGAAGCGAATGGCAGAGGATAATGCTGAGAAATGTAATTACACTATCAAGATCTACTTTTATTTATAGCACAAATAAACTGAGCTCATGTATGATAAGCACAGCAGCATTTTTCCTCTGGTTCTTTGTGGCGCGCTCTGCACTGGGAGGGRATAGTCCATGGATACTTGGTTGGAGGCACTGCCTTTTTGCATAATGTTAAAACCTCCCCGTAAGATTCACATAGAATAACTATGAAATTAAGCAGCTAGGAAACTATTAACTTCAGAAATCTGAAGGTCTTATTGAAGTTAGGAAGTAAGCAGGACTTTTTCCTTTTTTCTTTTTATTTTTTTTTCCCAATATGCTTTTCTTCTAAAAGGAAGGATAGTACTGTGTATGTATTAAATTGATCTGCAAATAATTAGTGTTTTCTTCCTAATAGTTCCTTGTCTTTTCAGCCACAGAAAACAAACATTCTGTCATAGTCACCCTCATCCTTCTTTAAAAAAAAAATCTCTTTAACATTAAAAGACAGGTGGGCTCATAAAGCTGTTATTAAGCCCTTGTTGAAAACTAATGAAACTAAAGTTGTGGCTAGTCTTCCAAAAATGTCATGCATGCTATTGCTCTCATTTGGTTAAAGCTCATATGTGAGGAAGGGCTCCTGAGCAGCAGAAGTCTTGCAAAATCTAGCCTTTCTTGACTTCTTATTATGAGATTTAAATGAAACACAAGTAGCACACAGACCTTGTAAGAGTCCCGTATGTGTAACATGAATTTCACCCATTTAAGCAGACCCTACTATAATTGTGCAGTCTTTACTGCCCTTTCTAAGGTTTCAGAGGCCTTTCCAAAAGCCATGAAACCACATACCACCCTACACCCTGTGTTAAGTCAAAAGTGATGATATATTCCTGCACCTCCTCATTTCAAAAGTGTGGAGTTTTGTTCTTGCTTTTTTTTTTTT